TTTATCGGCTTGTGCTTTGTATGCCTGCCTAGCTTCATCTAGTACTTTTCTAACTATTGGCCAGGTGTTTTGTAGTTTTTCCATCCATTCTTTCAGTGATGGGATCGTTGGTTCGTTTGGGATTAATTCTGGCATGGGGTTGAAACTTTGACCGGTGGCTATTTGAAAAGGAGTGTAACCTGTGCTGGAGTGGACTGCATTATTGTAGGCAACTTCTGCAAAAGGGAGTAAGTCCGCACACTCGGTCTGCTGGAAACTAAGAAAACATCTTAAATATTGCTTAAGTACGGAGTTCATTTTTTCAGCCCCCCCCCATTTGATTGTGGATGATGGCTAGATGTCAGTCCCTGAGTGGTTCTTAAGAGGGATAAAAATTCCTTCCAAAATGCAGACGTAAATTGCACTCCCCTATCAGAGATGATGCGTTGGGGTGCCCCATGCAATCTGTAAATGTGCTGGATGAAAAGTTTTGCTAAGGCTTTTGCAGTGGGAATCTTTTGGCAAGGGATGAAGTGCACCTGTAATGCCCAACGTATCCCGTATGCCTCCTTCTCCCATACGGGCCAGCGCTGTTCTGTTTCCGTGAGTTTCTCGGATGTATATGCACAGGGTTGCAATACTCCATCATCGTTTTCTTGTAATAGAACAGCCTCCACTGCCACATCACTTGCATCTGCCTGTATTACGAAGGGCTTATCCATGTCTGGGTGCCTTAGTACTGGTTCGGCAGAAAAAAGTCTCTTTAGTCTCTCAAACGCTGCTTGGCTGGCTAGGTTTTACTGAGGATGCTCCCTTCGTTTTTAATAAGTTAGTGAGGGGCAAGGCTATCTGGGCAAATGAGGGGATGAATTGGCGGTAAAAGTTTGCAAAGCCCAGGAAACTTTGTAGTTGCTTTCTTGTGCGGGGTGGTGCCCAATCTAATACTGCTCTGACCTTCTCTGGGTCCATTTCAATGCCCTGGGGGGATATGCAATAACCTAGGTAGTCTATCCTTTCCTGGTGGAATTAGCATTTTGAGAGTTTGGCATATAGGTGGGCGGCTCGCAGTTTCTTTAAAACCGCTCTGACTAGGTTGACATGTTCCTCTTTTGTTTCGGTGAAGATAAGAATGTTGTCTAAGTAAACAAGGACCCCCTTAAACATGTGCTCCCTTAGAACGGTCACTGATTAATTGCATAAATACTGCGGGGGCCCCTTGTAATCCAAATGGCAAGACTTTGAATTGGTAGCACCCCATTGGGCAGTTAAATGTGGTCTTCCATTCATCCCCTTCCTTAATTCTCAAACGATAATAAGCTTCCCTTAGGTCTAGTTTAGAAAAATTTTTCCCTTTCGAGAGGTGTGACAGCATGTCTTTCATGAGGGGCAGAGGGTATAGGTTGCTTTCACTGATTGTATTCAGGGCCCTATAGTCCACGCATAAGTGTAAAGAGCCGTCCTTCTTCTCTCTAAAGAGGACCGGGGCAGCCACTTTAGGCTTGGCTGGCTCAATGAACCCCCTTTCTATGTTTTTTTTATGAATCTTTCCATTTCCTCCTTCTCCTTTGGGCTCATGGAGTATAATCTGGCTTCGGGAGTTTTGCCCCAGGCTTGAATTCAATGGTACAGTCTGTGGGTCGGGGGGGGGGGAAGTTCAGCCGCCCACTCCTCACTGAAAACTTCAGCAAGGTCTCTGTATTCCTCTGGTATTTTTGGTGGTCCCTTTTCCTCCCCCATGGATGCTTTTTCTGTTCTTGGTTCTTGTAGTCCCCCTTGGGGTTTTAAGTCCATAGGGTCGCCCTTTGGGAATTTGATTTCTGCTGTCCTCCAATTCACTCAGGAGTTCCATTTTTTTAACCATTCCATCCCTAGGATCATTGGGCATTCCATGCCTGGGGTCACCAAAAACGTTATGTCCTCCTCATGTTTGCCCAGGGAGAGGTGTATTGGTAAAGTGGCTAGGGTAGCTGGCATCTCCCTTGCTATGGATCCATCTAACTGGCCAAATGAGATTGATTGTTCCAGTCTCCTCGACGGAATGCCCAGATTCCCCACTAGTGTCGGGCTAATGAGGCAGCGGGTGCAGCCAGAGTCTATTAAGGCTTTCACCTTCATAGCTTCAGGCATGGGGGGAATTAATATAGTTACTGTCTTGAGGATAGGTGCGATGCGTCCACTTACCAGGGGTTCGCCCTCCGAGCTGTCATCTGAGGCGTCCACCGGCCCTGCAGTGTAGGCTGGAGTTCTTTCCCCCTGATGAGCGGAGGTGGGGGGTTCCACCCCTCCATCATTCTCATGGCAGTTTCTTTTGGCTTAGCTGGAGACTTTCCGGATTTGCTGATTGGGGATCTGTCTGAGTTGTGCTGGGGGTCTTTTGAGTGGCATTCTACAGCTCGATGCCCTTCTCTTCCGCATTTGAAACACCCCATTTGCTTCTTGGTTGTGGCCAATGGTTTCACTGGTTCGTGTGTCAACTCAGGCGCGGGGCGGCTCCATTGTTTTCCTCGGCGGTGCCTCTTCAATATGTCGATCTCTGCTTCCTTTGCCAAGACGTACCATTCCTCAAGTTGGTGTGGGTCCCCTTGGGGCAGGCATGCATCATATAGGTCATAATTTAGTTCGTCTTTGAAATGGCTAAGGAGGATGTCTTCTGGCCAGTTTAGTTTGCTGGCAATGGCCTGGAATTCTTGTGTATATTCGGCCACCGGGCGTTTGCCTTGCCTCATTGTTTTTATCCTTTCGTGGGCTTTGCAATCAGGCAGGGGGTTCTCAAATCGCCTTCTCAGAGAGGAGAGGAAACGGTTGAACGTTGAGCTCTGGGGCATTGGAGTCGTGTAAGTTCACCACCCAATCTGCGGCCGGTCCACCCAGGGCAGATTGCACGATCCGGATGCGGGCTTTGTCGCTGGGAATGTCCCGCCCGTATTCCTCCATGTAGCTGAGGACATGGGTTAGGAAAAACCCTAAGCGTGTTGGCTCCCCCTTGAATTTCACATCCAGCGGTGGATGTCTTGGAATGGATCGGTACCTCCATTGTCGGTGGTAGTGTCTTCCATCCAGATCGTCATCTGTGGTTTGGCAGGGGGTGGGGACTACTGGATCAGCAGATGTCCCCGGGGCTGCAGGTTCCACTTCCCCATCGGTGTCTCTCCCTTTGCGGTTCCAGGAGCTGGGGTGGCCGTAGGGCTCAGGATTCTCCTCTCCTAGGGAGCTGAGAGTTCTCTTCATCAGGTCGATAGCTTTCTCTAGGATTCAGTCTGAGTACGGTGCCCAGCTCCCTTCCTCTTTGCTGGTGTGCAGGGATTTCTCCATCTCCTGCTTCCATTCTGATTGCTTGGCCCCCCGTCTCAGGGTCACCTTTCTTGATTCCTTTCCCCACTCGCCTTTCTTTCCAACGTCCATTGGCCAGTGAGGCTTGTGGTCTTGTGTCTCCACCATCTTTTCTCCTGAGGAATCTGACCTCTCGGATCTCGACATCTGGCAGGGTTTCAGTCGGGGCAGCGGCTCCCTTTCCGGAGAGTTTTCTCCCTTCCTTGCTCCATTGTCTGACATGGTAATTTTTGCAAAATTCCCCGGCAAGGGTCTCCCTTCCAAGTGGATTAATTTTGCAAGTCCTGTCTAATGTAAGGACCCACCCCACTTTGCATCTTAAGAAGACAGAACTCTTGGAATCTTTCTTCCAACAGGCATCTTTATTAAGAGAAACTGGTTGCAGGCATTCTAGACAGGACTTGGGGTCCAAGTTCTCCCAATCAAGGTTTTAAAGGGTAGCCCCCCCATCAGCCCCTTCTTCCAGCGACAGTCCCAGACATTACATTCCCACCCCCTTTCTCTCACTGCCGACAGGAGGTAGACTTCAGAGAGGAGTACATGAAAGCTAATAGCCCCATTGTTATGGTTAGTCTTTTTGGTGGTATCCACATCCAGTCTCTTTGAAGTGTACTGAAGGAAGTGAGGGCCATAAAGCCACTTTGTTCACCCCCTTCCCTTCATCGTATGACAGAATCCAGGGAAGGCAGGAATGGGGTTTTCCATAGTTAATAACGCCACATTTAATATTTTCTCCTGAAGGACTTAGCCTGGAAAATCAAGGTCTTCCAGAAGCAATAAATAAATTACTGAATTTGTGGCATGTGAAAGCATCAACCAAGTTATAAAGTTATTAAGACAAGTGATTGGCAATATTTGCTTCATTTACTTCATTAACTAAAAGCCAAACATCATATTGTACATAATTACAGGATCACATACAAAGCTGCCTTAAATTGACTCCGTGTTGTGAAGAGAAGGAAGAAACCACTTACACTGATGGCATGCTTTTGATCACCTAGTAGGCAATTTGGAAGATTGTGTCTTAATAGGCAAAAAATTGTAATATGTTTCCAAATCTTTCACCGATACTAGGTCACTCTTGGCAGAAAATAATTCATAAAAATAGAATTTCCTCATCTTATGCCTACCCTTTCAACCTTAAAACATCAGTGTCAATAGCCAGAAGGAATTGCTACTCCTAGAAAAAGCTATGTCTATGATGTCTTCTATAATATGTGTACAGTATGTCAGAGCCTTTCAAGACATTTATGTCTACTTTTTTTTTTTTTAAAAAAAAGGGCTTTCTAAATGACTTCATATCTATTTAGTTACACATATGTCCTCTTTTTCAATTGGAAAGGCTCATAGAAGTTTTCAAATAAAATCAATACTAATATCATAAAATATTTTTTTAAAAAAGACAGATTATGCCTGCAGATTTACAATAAAAAAAAGATTCGGCACGCCCACTTGCTCTAATAGTTTTAAGTTAGAAAACCTATATAAATCCCATTAAATGCTTGGTTTGATCATCTGTTCCTTAAGTAATGATATTTCTTAATTTGAGTATTTTTCATGTGGACTCACTTTAAAATCTTTTACAGGCACAAATAATAACACAAAGGAAGTTTATACATGTTTCACTGTTTTTTAAGAAAAAATATTGGTTTATTTCACAGTCCCCCATAATAGATATATGAATGTTCTACCTCTGGTGATGAAGATAAAAAAGGTTTGATGTATATGGTTGAGTCATGCACTTTTAGGTCATGATCTCCAAGTCCTCTTGTAACCCCAATAGTTGCCATGACACGAGCCTAGGAAGAGATAAAAACCATAAAAGTGTGGGAATACCAGAGAAGACTAGAGGAAAGATTCCTGAGGAGGAAAAAAAACCTTAACAATACATAATAAAATGATACAATTAGATATTATTGAATGGCTACCAATTTAAATGATTCCAAAGGAGCTATTTGTCCTAAGTGCTCTATGATATCAATTGACACTAGTAGCATACCTTAAATATCTACAGCTGAAGAAAGTTGTTGTCTTCCTATCTGACTTCTGACTGTCCTATATATATATATTTGATTAACAGTTGTTATGACACAAATTAAGACTAGGTGAATTTTGCTCTGAAGAGCTACATTGAGGGGAAAAAGTATTTGATCCTCTGCTGATTTTGACAAAGAAATAGAATAAAATATAGAACAGAATAATAACTTTATTGCCACTTTGAATGTACACTAATGGTCATACATTAAAATGAAATTTCATTGCATACAGCTCTCAAAGGGTGTATAATTTTAATGATAGATTTATTTTAACAGTGAGAGACAGAATAACAAAGAAATCCATAAAAACACATTTCAAAAAAGTTATAAATTGATTTGCATTTTAATAACTGAAATAAGTATTTGACCCCTTTGCAAAACATGACTTAGTACTTGTGGCAAAAACCCTTGTTGGCAATCACAGAGGTCAGATGTTTCTTGTAGTTGGCCACCAAGTTTGCACACATCTCAGGAGGGATTTTGTCCCACTCCTTTTTGCAGATCCTCCCCAAGTGATTAAGGTTTCGAGGCTGATGTTTGGCAGCTTGAACCTTCAGCTCCCCCTGCCAATTTTCTATGGGATGAATGTCTGGAGACTGGCTAGGCCCCTCCAGGACTTTAATGTGCTTCTTCTTGAGCCACTCCTTTGTTGCCTTGGCTGTGTGTTTTGTGTCATTGCCATTCTGGAATACCTATCCACGACCCATTTTCAATGCCCTGGCTGAGGGAAGGAGGTTCTCACCCAAGATTTGACAGTACGTGGCCCCGTCCATTGTCCCTTTGATGCAGTGAAGTTATCTTGTCCCCTTAGCAGAAAAACACCTCAAAGCATAATGTTTCCACCTCCATGTTTGATGGTGGGGATGGTTTTCTTGGAATCATAAGCAGCATTCCTCCTCCTCCTCCTCCTCCAAACATGGCGAGATGAGTTGATGCCAAAGAGATCAATGTTGGTCTCATCTGACCACAACACTTTCACCCATGTCACCTCTGAATCATTCAGATGTTCTTTGGCAAACTTCAGATGGGCCTGTACATGTGCTTTCTTGAGCAGGGGGACCTTGCGGGCGTTGCAGGATTTCAGTTCTTCACAGCGGAGTGTGTTATCAACTGTTTTCTTGGTGACTATGATCCCAGCTGCCTTGAGATCTTCCTGTGTAGTTCTGGGCTGATTCCTCACCGTTCTCATGATCATTGAAACTCCACGAGGTGAGATCTTGCATGTGTCAACTCTACAATGAGCATGGCTGCAGCCATTTTTTCTTCTCTTTCTAGGTTGCCACATAAAATGGGGGTGGGGGGTTGCCCAGGTGTTTCATTAGTCAAAATAATTTTCTGTCCTGTGGGAACCAAGGTCATCGGTTGCTCCTGAGGCTAGGGACTGGGCATTGTATAAAAATAAGTATATTGGGGAACGTAGTTGCTTGCATAGTTTTGTGGGTGGGATCTTTAACTTTGTAACTGGGCAATTGTTACCTGTGTATTCAGCTTTGGTTTCACTTTTGACCGTGCCAATACTTTGTAACTAATAAACATATTATTTGACAAACTTTCAAGCCTCAGAGTCCTGCTTTATTCGTCTCTGTCTGTCGGAACTATGATAGCATGGAGCCCCAGACCGAGGGAGATTGACAGTTATTTTGTGTTTCTTCCATTTGCAAATAATCGCACCAACTGTTGTCACCTTGTCACCAAGCTGCTTGGCAATAGTCTTGTAGCCCATTCCAGCCTGTTGTAGGTCTACAATCTTGTCCCTGACATCCTTGGACAGCTCTTTGGTCTTGGCCATGGTGGAGAGTTTGGAATCTGATTGACTGATTGCTTCTGTGGACAGGTGTCTTTTATATAGGTAACAAGCTAAGATTGGGAGCACTCCCTTTAAGAGAGTGGTCGTAATCTCAGCTTGTTACCTGTATAAAAGACAGCTGGGAGCCAGAAATCTTGCTGATTGATAGGGGATCAAATACTTATTTCACTCATTAAAATGCAAATCAATTTACAGCTTTTGAAATTTTCTGGATATTTTTGTTGTTATTCTGTCTCTCACTGTTAAAATAAACTTATCATTAAAATTATAGACTGATCATTTGTCAGTGGGCAAACGTACAAAATCATCAGGGGATCAAATACATTTTTCCTTCACTGTAGGAATCCTTTTACACTCTTATATATTTAATCAGACCAGGGGCTAATCTAATTCAAAGTTTAGTTCTTAGATGTCAACTGACAGAACTAGAAAAGATCATAAGCATATGTTTGGCCATGTCCTCATGCACACCTTGCAGTAGGGTGTTTGTCACCACTAGGAGGACTCAAAATCAGCTATCAGAAATTCATAGTATAAACCAGTGGTTCTCAAACATTTTGGCTTCAGGAGCCCTTTACCTTTTTAAAAAACGATTGAGGACCCCAAAGGGTTATATGCAGGTTATATGTATCAATATTTACTGTATTAGATATTAAAGCTAAGTTTTAAAATATTTGACCTTGTGAATCCGAGGGATCCTCCGACCAAACTTTTGAGAACCATCGATATAAACCAATATTATTTTTTTGCAATCTAAAGAGAAAACAGAATTTGGATCTTCTTTCTCAAAGAGTGTCACTTTTTAGCATCACTGTTGTGATACTATAATCTCCAATTCCCCCAATTCTTCAGGTTACTTATGAAGAATTTGTTTTTCAGAGATATTAAATTCTTCTAAAATATGTAGCAAATGGGAAGAACTGTTACACACATACACAGAGAAAAGAAAGATGCAGAAATACTGTTGAAAAAACAAAATTCTCATCAAAACATACAGGTAAGTTACATCAGAGCTGACCAGAATAGCCAGACCAACACAGAAACTCGTATGATCAATTGAAATAAGCAATCAAGCCATTGGAGAGGGGCTTATAAATGTGATGAGCAAATAAAAACAATATTGAGATCACAGAGTCCTCACATTAATCACAGATCTACACCTTCAGAATTGCAGGGATCAGTACTAATAATTTATCTAATTCTGCATTTGGCAGAATTATTTCTTTCTTTGATCCCCATCCCTGAAAGAAAATTTTATTCCAAGAATGAACTGTGAATGCAGCTAAAATTTCTAGTAACTAGAAATTCAGCAGGCATCCTTATTGCCCTAAACTTATTTGATCTCCACAACTCTCCAAAACTGCTCAAATCCAATAAAAAAAGTTTTATTTTCCTCCTGTTTAAAAGATCACATGTAACTATACAATCAAACTGCAGATAAGTAAGATAAGATAAGGCAAGATAAGGCAAGGCAAGGTAGGATAAGATACCCTTTATTGTCATTTTTTTTTTACTGTGGGCACAACGGCAACATCAAAAATGAAATTTAGTTGTCCGTTCTCAAAGTGAAACACATACATGACACACACCTAAACATACTATATACAACATATATATAGACCCACACCCTTACATATACATAACAAATAAATATTAAATCCTGTCCATTGCCTAGCCAAACTTTTTTCTTTTCAAAATCTCTCTATCCTGACTGCCTTCAAATGCATACTTACATAAAGCAAACAAAAAGCAAAATAAGATCAGCAGTAAAAGTAATGAAACTGCTTTTCTCTGAAATGGGCTTTTTGTTTGTCATGGAACCTAGGAACTGATTATTAGAAACACAATATTCTTTTAAATTGTCAGAAAAAGAAAATAAAGTGAAGAAAGTAGAAAACCCCAAACAGCTTAGGGCTAAATTGAGTAGTAAATATGATGCAGCACTCAAGTTCCTTTGATACAAAGCTTATTCCCACCTTCTTGCCTTCTCCATATATAAGGGGAAATTTCAGGTCATCCTCTTCAATGGTTTTGTATGCCCTGAGGAAGGAATAAAAGAACTTTGTAAAGCTTGGACTCAATTAGCAATCCAGTCCTTTAACATAATTTTCTCCCTGTTCTCTTTCTCTGCGTATTTATTTGCTTCATCTTTGCAACATATTCTCATTTTTTTCTTTCCTCTTTTGAGCTCCCCCAGCAATTTATAATACTTGCACAAGAGTAAATATAAGGAGTGTGATATCAATTTTACGAATAAAAATATAATCCTTGGTATAATAAAAGATGGGAAACTAAGCTAGATCCCTTCCTGATTATCCCAGCTGCTGGCCCAGCAGCTCCCAATCAGAATATACGGATAGAAGGATGAAGATCAAAGAGGGTGATGAAACAAGTTAGCAAGAGCAGGGAGATTGAAGTAAAAGCAGAAACAGGAGGAGAATGAAGGCAAGGTAAAAGCAAGAGAGAGTTCAAGAAGCAAAGAAATGTATTAAACTGGCTAAATGTGTAATCAGGCTTTGTAACGTATTCCTGAATATGATTAAGAAAAAGAACAAGAAATAATCCTGTGGTTCTCATTTGGGCAGCTAGTACCAATTTTTTTACCAACTTCCTGATGCAAGTAGAATCTGTCTTTCACCCCTCCAGTATGGCTTTCTAAATAGGTGAAATGATAGGTTTATCACTGACAACAAATTCCTTGCAGCCATTTTAGGATGTCACCAGTTACATTTTCCTCCAAATTACAATTGTTTTAACTGGGAGTGTCTGTTACCCTCAATCCATAAAAAAAGCAAAACAAAAGAAGCTGTGAATAAGTATCATCTGGTAGATCACACTGGCAATAGTACTGTAACCCAAAGGAAGATAGATCTTCCTATATTTGATCTATGTAACTATAATATTTAGATTTTAAACCACAATAGTGCAGTCTGTCTATCCTCTGTACAAGCTTTTCTATAAAACACAGTTCTGTTTCTTAATTGCGATCGAGAGCTCTAAATGTGTTATCTCTTTATTCAGAAGAGTTTTAAATTCTTCTGGCACCTTGGGTAAATCGGCTAATTGTAAATACTGTACTATGTCATAGTTATTTCTCTTTTCGTCGTCCTTGTATAAATTCTCATATGCCACTAGCTTCTTTCCTTCGTTCTGGCATACCATATCACCTTTGGCGTTATAAAGTTTAGTAACCCTCTGCTTATTGTTATGTTTTTTGATTTTATAAGCCAACCATCTCCCTGGTTTATTGGCGTTTTCGAAGAAATTTTGTTTAGTACGTTTTATCTGCTGTCCTAGATCTTCCTTCACAATAATATCCATCTTATATTTAATTAAATCTATCTGTTGTTTCAGATCACATCTTTGTGGTTCCTTTTGCAGGTTTTCCTCAACTTTACGTAGTTCTTCTTTTAGTTGTCTTTGGCGTTGTGTTTTGATTTTGTGTTGCCTAGCCATATAAGAAATTACAATGCCTCTCATGTACGCTTTGGTTGTATCCCATAGATTTTGGCAATTTGTATCTTCCTTCTTGTTTGACTTAAAAAACAGATCCAATTGTTCTTCTAATTTTGATTTGAATTCTTTATGGTTTAAGATTGCCCTTTTTAGAGTCCATCTCCTCGTGTTTTTTTGCCCCTTCCATCTAATTCTAATTGGATTGTGATCAGCCCAGGTGTTTGTATCAATTACAATCTCCTCTACTTCTAAATTTAAGTCAGCTGACATCCACACCATATCAGTTCTGGGCCATGATTGATGACGTCCAGAATAAAAGGTAAACTGTTTTTTCCCAGGATTCCTTTCTCTCCAAGCATCCTGTATATTAAACTCATCTGCCATTTTTTAAAAAAATATCAGATATTGTTTCTCTAATTCTTTTTCTACTCTCTCCACATTTATAATCTAGGTTATTATCCACAATTGCTTTATAGTCACTCATTATGCAAATGCTATCATGTTCCAACTGGCTAATAATGTTATGGAGTTTCTTATAGAAGCGTTTTTGCCCCTCATTCGGGGCATAAATTCCAACCAGAAGAATTTTGGTTTTATTCAAAGTTACTTCCACAATTAGGATTCTGCCATCTTCGTCCTTATAAATTTGCTTAGCCACAATTCCTTGTTTAATATATACTACCCCCTCCTCCTTTCTTATATTGCGAAAGTGCTGCAAACATATTCCCCAGTTTAGGACAATTTAATAAATATTGATGTTGTTTTTTAATGTGGACTTCTTGTAACATTATTATATCTAAATTATAAGCCTATTGAAAAACTTCTTCCTTTTTGTTGGAGAATTGAGGCCATTGACGTTGATAGATATAGATTCAACACATTTTTTCCCCTCCTTATCTATGTTTAGATCTAGTTACTATTGCTGGGCCAGATGGTGTACCTGCAGAAATGTATAAAATTGCACAAGAATCTTTAAGCCCAATGCTGTTGGATTTATTTAATGAGGTTTTAACCCAAGCTAAAATACCAGCTTCATGGGAAGAAGCCTTCCTCACTTTGATTCCTAAAGAAAACATAGACCTGGTGCAAATTAAAACTATAGACGCATTTCTCTTTTGTATTCGGATTACAAGATTTTCATGGCAATAATGGCACAAAGATTTGAAAGGTTCTTAGTGGATTTTATACATACTGATCAAAACGGCTTTCTATCTAAAAGATATATAAGAAACAATATTAGGACTGTCTTGGACATATTGGAGTATTATGAAGTACATAATGAAAAGCAAATGTGTTTAATTTTTCTTGATGCACAATGTAAAATGGGATTTTATGTTCCTGGTTATTGCGTGTTTGTGAAGTTTATATTATCTCTTGAGGTATTAACTAGAGTAATCCGGCAAGATGAACAGATCCAAGGTTTAGAGATCAAGAAAGAGACATTTAAAATACAAGCCTTTGCAGATGATTTAGTCTTTATAATTGAAGAACCACTACAATCAGGGACAAGACTGATGAAAATACTGAATAGATACGGGGAAATAGCAGGTTTAAAGATAAATAAAGAGAAAACTATGACTAAATATGACTAAATATGACTAAAATACAGAAAAATGAATTGGTTGACAGAATAGGTGTTCAAATCACAAATAAAATTAGATATTTAGGGATACAATTGACTGCCAAATGTGCTACACTTAAAAGGGATAACTATGATAAGTTAATAGAACAGATTCAAAAAGATTTTGATATTTGGACTAACCTACAGCTCTCTCTTATGGGCAGAATTGCGGTGATTAATGGTGGGCATACCTGCAACTGCAGGCAAGATATCGGAAAGACAAAAAAGAATTAGGCATTAAACTAGAACCAATAGAATTGGATAAAATAATATTGGGGTCGGAGGATAAAATGATTAAAAATTTATACCACTATTTGTTAGATCAGGCAATATATGAGGAACAAGTAAAAGTGACTATGTTGAATTGGAGCAAGGACTTTGGTCTTAATTTTGATCTGCACATCTGGCAAGAACTATGGGCAAGAAACAAGAAGCTTACTTTGGCCACCTCTTACAAAGAGAACCTCTACAAAATGTTTTATAGATGGCATCTCCCACCCACAAGATTGGCTAAAATGTGTAACAATGTCTCCCCTAAATGTTGGAAATGTAATTTGACAAGTGGAACATACTATCATATGTGGTGGGAATGCACGCGAGCTCGTGATTTTTGGAACAGGATTAAAGTATGGTTGGAAGAAATATTAGAGCAAGTGGTAGAACCAAAATCAGAACTCTTTCTATTAGGTTTAACTACGCAAAAGCATGACAAAGGCGTACTTTATTTAATGCTACACATTTTAATGGCTTCCAGACTGGTTTTTGCTCAAAATTGGAGGAATAAGGGAATTCCAACGGAAGAAGAGATCCTGCATAAAATTTTATCATGTGCTGAGATGGACAGGCTTACAATGATTATGAAAAACAAGACAGAACACGAATACTTCGAAATCTGGGACAAATTTTACCGTTGGTATGAATTAAGGAGAACTGCTCGGACTTCAAGTTAATGGTAGAATTAAAAGATATATATAACTGTACATATAATTGTATATATAATTGTATTGTATAGAAGGATGAGGCTTATATAGAGGTTAAGAACGATGTATTAAGCTTTTGTACCATGAGAAATAAACTGATATGGCTAAATTCATTCTAGAATGTCATGTTTGTCCATTTTTGTTTTAATTGTATTATGAATAAAATATATATATATATATATATATATATATATATATATATATATATATATATATATATATATAAAAAACCCACAGTTCTGCTATCACCTCATTAGCAAGTCACATAAACACAAGAAGGTTCTTTTAAAAGATGACAGCAGGGCCTCTTAGGAGAGATTGATTTAATCCCTCAGTGGCATTTTTTTACCTATTGGCAAACTATCCCAAGGTGTTCAGCTTAATGAGAAACACATCACTATTTTTCATTAGCATGAAGGTAATGCTTTTACTTGTAAGCAACTCAAACCTGGTGTTTTCAAGAGCTATGAAGTTTATGTTTTAAAACAGGATTAGAAACTAGTCTATTCTCATTATATTCTCATTATAACAAAAATATATTAAGAATAAGATCAGAGAGCGAAGATGGACTCCACTGCAAAATTTTTCTACCTTTGCAATGGGATTTTCCCTCACTCATTTCTCCAACAGTTTCTAATCTTGTCCTCGAGACTCTATTCTGAAATAGGACATGTAAGAGGGAATACTACTACTCCTTTGTTCTCTAAAGAGATCATCAAAATTCCTCAATAGTTTCTGTCTCATAAATGTAGATACTGACGTGCTGGTTCCCAGTGTAATCATATAAATGTAATATTTTCTTTCCCTCCACTTTGTAGAGCAGAGAGATTACAGAGAAAGGGATTGCAAGAAAGTAAATTGTTTCTTCTTCTATATATCAAAAGCAATATAATTGCAAAGGCAGCTTGGAACCTGCAGTTGGGACCTGCAATGTGCTATGCAAGCCACTAACTCTCTTGAAATTTCTTTCTCTTCAATCTCTCCATTCTGTGGGAGGGTGGAAAGGATCAGGTAAAGGAAAGATTGTCAAGAGAAATCACTTGTTCCCTAGCTTCCAACAAATATATTGGAGAGAAAAGGATTTCAAGACACTACTGTATGCTGTTTGTCTAGCATACCTGTGGTTGCCAACTCCAGGTTGCCTAAGCAATCTCATAGCTTTTGATGTGTATAAGACAGTAAGCAGACGCTTTAGCATTCTAAAGGAAATGGCAAGAAACAGGGCAGGAAGCAGAGACACAGTTACATGATTTCCCCCGTAATGACTGCTTCACTTAGCAGTGGACTTGTCAGTGTTAATTATGGCTAAATGCATAATTGTATTTCCAAGACTAATTCGCACTTTCACCTACACTTCTCCTTCACTCACAGTTTGACAATAGGGAGGGGGTGGTTGGAATGCAGGAGAGGGAGAATGGTTTATTACATTTTTATCACAAAAAGGCACATGTGTACATTTAAGCAGTATCTCAATGTCCCAGATAATATTTGGACATTTTATTTTCATCCCAGAATGGTGGAGTTCTGTTTTATTTTTTCTTCTCTCTCTCTCTCTCTCTCTCTCTCTCTCTCTCTCTCACACACACACACACACACACACACACACACACACACACAAAATGTTTGCTTTTACTTATTTATTAGAAAGGAAAAACAGGATTCGGAAGCAATTTATCACTAAGATCAATATTTACACTTCTAAAATAAGTATCAGATTGTGTAAGTAAAGTCTTTAGGAGAGCAGTGTTACTAAACATCAATTAAAATATTCAGCAGTAAAAGAGGAGAGGAAAAAAGTAGTCTCTAAGCCACCAGGAACTTGGATTGTAGCAGGGTAGAAGTACGATGGTGTGAAGGTGATCCCTAAATTTTAAATGATTAACTCGTTCCTCATCAATTTAGGGAGATATCTGTGAGGTTTCTGTTTTTTCACTAGCTCATCTTGCCCCAATGCCACTGTTTCTGTTCCTCTGCCATATGTGTAATTACAGAAAACAAGCTCATTTGTCACTGCCAAATGATACACAACAGGTGAGATCCCTCTCCTTGCTATCTTTGGAGACACGGCTGCAAATCTTGAGCAAAATGCAGAACATGCATGTTGTATACAACCATTTATCATCATTGAACCAGGCTCCCCCCCCCAAAAAAACCCATCAAACTCTATGCCACCTGCATATGTAGTCAGAAACCAAAAAAGACCTAGAGCCCAAATATCTCTACATAACCTAATATTTCTAGGGTTTTTTTTCTCTGTTTGCTTGCCAGTTTGTGGACCCTGTAGCTACCATTACATTAAAAAAGTTATCCTCAGTTACATGTTTGTCTGATAGGAAAGTTCAGCTATCCCCCTAAATAGATTTTAAAAAAGGGAACTACAGGTAGTTCTTAACTTACAACCACAACTGAGCTCAAAATTTCTGTTGCTAAGCAAGTTAATTGTTAAGTGAGCTTTACCCCATTTGATTATCCTTCTTGCCATAGTTGTTAAATAAATCAGTGCAGTTGTTACGTTAATAACATGGTTGTTAACTGAATCTGTCTTTCCCATTGACTCTGCTTGTCAGAAGGTCGCAAAAGGTAATCATGTGACCCCAGAACACGGCAAGCGTCATAAATAGGAATTAGTTGCCAAGTGTTTGAATTTTGATCACGTGACTATGTGGATACTGCAAGGGTTGTAACTGAAAAACTGTCATAGGTCACTTTTTTCTGTGCCACTGTAACTTCAAATGCTCACTAAATTGTTGTAATTTGAGGACTAGTTGTACATGGATAAAATTGTATGCATAACTAAAAAGAACGGTTTAGATACACCATTAAGAGACAATCACTGCTCTTTTGCAGACTTCTAAGAGTGTTTGCTGGCTGGGAAATTCTGAGAGTTGAAATCTATGCATCTTAGTTGCTGAGGTTGAGAAACACTGGTCTAATACACACTCATGCAGCTCAACAAGTGAAAATAGAACACAGACAACCGCTCAGTAATCTTTATAGCTGACACCCTTTCCAGTCTAGTAGGAAAGATCATTGCCCTTAATAAAACTATGGGGCCCTTAATAAAACAAAGCAGCAGCTAATAAAGTTCCTTGTATAGTCTGAAGATAAATCCAGGCCGGGAAAAGTGATATCCATTTGCTAGTGGCGTTTGTGGGTTCTAGAGTCCTGCTTGCACAGGTGTGCAAGCACCAGCGCTGTCACCAGCGCTGCCATGGGTGCGCACAGTCCACTTGCACATGCACACGGATTTGTGCATGAGCGCGCGCACACACACATTTCTCTGTTCCTCCCTTTCCCTTTAGGCCACCAACCCGGAAAGGTTGGGGAACTCTCCTGTAGATGTATATGTAGACAAAGTGCTTATTTGTCACTTAGTGGCTTTTTAAAGTTACAGTGGACCCCTCAAAATCTACTTATGATCCAAAGTTACAGCCATTGCAGCACCCCCTGTGGTCCTTCACCCTTATGCCTGGCCCCAGAGATGCTGCAGTGTCCCCCCCATCAACCTCCCCCAATCATCCTTCACTGGAGAAAAAATTACAAAGTAAACTTTTGTTTTCACCCTCTCCCACATTTTGACACAACCAGCTTTCCACATCTGGGTTCCAATAGTTTTGTAATTGAAATGTATATTATCATACCCTTATATTTCTAAATGTTGCATATGTATGATCACTTCTGTAGGAAGGTTTTTAAAGCATATTTTTCCAAAAAGGGGTATGCACCTACCAGCCAATCATGCTGAAATCTCGATAAAGCATTCTTTTCCCAACTTCCTTTCGCTGAACTCTCCTTGGAAACTCCAAATGTGTAAACTCATTTCCCAGCAAATGGGGTTGCATATATGCCTGTAAATTAAGAGAGGACATTGACTGGGCAATAATCCCAGAAATCCATAATTAGAACTCACACTTCTCCCTTGTCTCATCAAACTATCCCAAAATCCCTGTTACACCTTTTCATTGTTGGACTTGCACAATTGCTGCACTTTCTTCTAGAATTTATGATTGGGAGAACTGCTTATACATTTGATCCTACACTGAGCTAGGGCAGAGGGTCACAATTCAGTAATATTAATTTGTATTTTCTCATCTTACATAAGAGTTGTTGGCAGCCTGCCAGACTAATAGGTTGCCAATACCCTCAGCTTTTCTTGGAAGATGAAACTATTGGGAAAAGTGATATCTAGACTCAGTCTCACTTGACTGCCCAAACAGAAGAGTTTCATTGCCAAAACAATCTGTATCAGCCAACCCCAAATATACCAACTTTTTTTTAATAAAAATGAATGAACAATTTAAAAAGTATAGAAATCATTTGCTTAGTTAGCGGGAAATCCATAGATTCATAAACTTAACAGACAAGAGATTCCTGCCTAAAACAAATTTGTAAAGAAATTAATGAGAGAGCTGCTCATAAGCTGCTGTATCAAAACTTTCATCTTCCTCTGCTTTCTAAATGCTGTTGTTTTTCCTCTCACAAATCTGATAAAGCAGTTACATTTTTCTGGTCTTCAAAATGTTTTCTTTTACAAAAGAGCAAAATAAAAGCATATATATATGCTACTGATGCTGAAATCTGACTGATGGCTGGTTTCAGTGGATCTTCATTATAAATTTGATAGCATGTAGATAATATCCCTAAAACAGAAACAAAACTGTTTTGTTTTTGTTTTTTTGAGGGGGGAACTGCACATGTCTCATCCCAACAACTTGTGGTAAGCAGCAATAAGACTGGGGAACAACAAAAGGAAAAAAATTAAGTACTGTATAATATAACATTTATTTTCATTACATACATACTGTACAGTATAACTTCCATTGCTTCTGAAACTCTCTCTAATGTAATTTCACCTTTATTATACATTTGCTACATGTACAGTTGAACTAAATACATACCTGTAAGTTTTAGGAAATGGCAGAAGTGTTTTTAAGTCCAACCAGAAAAAAAGAAGAGACCCTTACAGGTAATGTTCTGACTCTGTTTCCTTTAGGTAAGATGATACTCTAAAAATACCACAGAACTTCCTTGATTTTAAAGGCACGCAAAATATTTAAATAACAGAGGCATGAATATTCATTATATTTGCTTTGTATTTGTTGTTGTAAACCTGCATGAGTAGTTCTGTCTTCCAAAACATTTAAGACACTTATAAAAAACAGTCCACTCTCCCTACGTCCTTCATTCCTGCTTTTATAGCCAGCCTACCTATGTTCTACAGAGCAAGCATTTCTAAAAAGGAAAAGCCATCTGGTCTCCCAAACCTGCCCCAATCAGCCTCAGTGGGAGGAAAGGTGACTAAAATAATGATGCACTAGAGATTACAGAAAGCAAGGGACACAAGGGAGAAAGGGAGGGAGAAACAGATCTGTATATAGCATTTCCTTGAGGAGTTAGCTATTCCTTTATTTATATAAAGGCCACACTTGGCAGATTTCTCAACCTGACAAAGCTCTCCTGGCTTTAAGAAATGGATACAGGAAGGACAGAGATCACCATCAATATTCTTATAACTGCAAAGGCACAGAGGGAATAATATACCAGACTCTTTGTCCACTTTAAATTTGACAAATAAAAATATAGTAGTATTTAGTGTAATGCAAGGATGGTACGTGAACATTTTATTATACTGGTCTCTTAGTGTTTAGTGTCACAGATTCTCTATTGCTTTGCAGTATGTTCTGCAATAACTCTGGATTGCAATGAGTTCAAGTGATGATGATTGCTTTGTAAGTTTTGCCATGTTGGAGAAGAGTCCTGAGAATATCATGAACAACCAAGAAAATAAACAAATGTATTATCAAACAAATCAACACAGAGTTTACACTCCAAGCACAAATGATTAGGCTAAAATTATCCTACTTCAGATACATTATGCAAAGAACTAGATCTAATACTGGGAAAGGTGGAAGGAATGGGAAGAAGAGCAGCAAGATGGATGGACAGTGGCAGTTAAAGTGGTGTGAGAGGTACTGTTAAAAGATCTGAAAGACCAGGTTAGAACAGATAGTCATGGAGAAAGTCTATCTGTATGATCACTAAGAGAAGACACCAATTTGATGGCACATAATAAATTAATGTTGTGCCACAGCTCTTCATTACACTGAAGGTGTGGATTATTATATTGTTTGGGAACTGGATATATTTCTAAAATCATGGAACTTCTGCAGTTAGTATGCAGTCTTCACGTATTTACCGTGTTTCCCCGAAAATAAGACCAGGTCTATTTTTTTTGGAACCAAAAGACTCATTAGGACTTATTTCCAGGGGATGTCTGACTTTGCAGCCACCCGCTCACTCCATCCCACTGTTTGATTGCTCACGTTGCAACGGAGTAGGAGAGCGTCACACGGGTGCTGCCACCAAGAGGTGAGGCAAGACAGGTAGGGGGGGTGGAGCTACTTCATGAGCCCCACACCCACTTACCTCAGGGCCCCCACAGTCAAACCACTCCCCACTCGGTGACCTTCTCCTGCCCGTTCAATGACCTGGTTGCCCACCCGCCTCTTCCCTTTCACTCCTCTCCTGAGCCGGACTGCCATGCTACGGAGGATGAAAAATGAAGGCTTGGCAGGTGGAGGAGGAGGAGGCTGCCACCAGGCAGGTGATCTGTGGGGGAGGGCCAGCAGGGATCAAAGAAAGCTCCTCCAGCGGCAAACACAGTTGTTGCACAGCGGTGGTGGAGACCTTTCACCATCACTCTCCCTGGTTCCGAAACAGCAGAAGGGGACGAGGTAAGGTGACCAAGCCTCCCCCACCCATCCTCCATTGCATGGCAGTCCGGCTTGGGAGGGGAGTGAAAGGGAAGAGGTGGGCAGGTAGCTGGGTCATTCAATAGGCGGGGGGAATTTGCCTAGCAGGGAGTGGCCTGGCTGTGGGGGCCCTGAGGTAAGCAGGTGCAGGGCATGTGGGGCAGCTCCACCTCACCTGCTTCGCCTCAACTTGTGGCAGCGGCATCGGTGCACTGTGCGCCTCCTGCCCCGCTGCAGCAGTAAGCAACCAGACGGTGGGATGGAGTGGGCGGGCTTTTACTAGGACTTGTTTGGGGGGGTAGGGCTTATATTAGGCACATGCTAAAAATGCTAGGTCTTATTTTCTGGGTGGGTCTTATTTTCAGGGAAATGCTGTAATCATCTCCAGATATATTAAAAAGCAATAATTTGGCAACAATTCTGGACTTTGGAGACAGTTTGCAATCGAGGAATTTGACGTTGTTTACCTTGGTTTTGAAAATCCATTCTTACCACCTATTAATATAATGATTTATGCCTCTTACCAGATACTGGAGCCGCTGACGCTCTGTCTCTGGTGTGAATTCTGAAGACATTGGAATGACCTCTCCATTTCTAATTATTATGGCTCTGAAAAATCAAAACACATAGTAAGAATGTGGAGAACAATCCCTAAAGAAAAATGGCTTTCTTTAAGAAACTGAAATTCTGTGTATTGAATCAAAAAATAAAAGAAGCACATTTGCCTATGCCACAGGAAACCTATAGCACAAATTACATTGCTGAACAGCTCTCTGCAGGCTAGAATCTTATATAAGGATTCAGGGGTCTTCAGTCTCTGGCTCCACATGACTTATGTAAATGGATTATTTACTCAGAATTGAATAGTCACATGTCATTTCAGAAAATACCCATTTTGGCTTCTGGTCTGCGATTGTGGCATCGGCAGACGTACGGGGAGACCGCTCTCTCTTCGCCGTCTGGTTTCTCTCCATCGGAATACCCTGGAAAGGGTAGAAAGTTGCCCTGGAGAGGCGACCACTGCTGAGGAGGACCCTCGATTGCTCGCGGAAGGACGGCAGCCCTTCCATTGGAGCCAAGGCAGCTCCTTTGGGCTGACAAAGAAAAGATCAGCCATTAACATGGCCGATCACCAAGCTGTTCCAGCCAAAAGCACTACTAAGCACGATGAAAGCAACGTGGAGGAATTGGGTGAGACCTTACCTTACCTTTCTTGCTTCCCAACTACTTTCCTGTAAAAGCTCCTGCCTACTCTGGGAATATAAAGCTAAGGGAAAAAAAGCTAAACTAAACTAAACAACTAAATATCTGGACTTGTAATTTCTGGATACCTGGGCTCCGAAAAGGTTCTTTATTCTTATAGAGACTGATCATTTTACCTATTTGCTAAGTTGAAGAAAAAAGAATATTTCTTTCCTCCTTTTTAAACCGGATAAAAGCTTAACTTTACATGTTACTGGGGGCATCTTGTGGCGAAATTTGGTACAGCAAGTGATTTTTTTTTTGACTGAGAGACTTGTGAGACTAAAATTTGTCCTTGACATTATCAAAAAAGATAAGAACTTGAAACAGCTGGGTGGTGAAAATAATTCTCTATAGTGATGGTGGACACTTATTAATTTTTATTAAAAATAGCCTCCATTAAAGGACTATCTGTAAATACCACAGAAATGGAGGAATACCACCCAGCTTGACTTCAAACTTATACTTGAAAAAATCTTAGAAGCTACTGAGCTAATGAATTCCAGACAGAAAGATATGCACACCACCTTAAAGCTACAAAACACAGCCCAGACTTCAACAGATGAACTTACAACTCAAAAGGCAACAGAAGAAGAAGGAATTAACACTAAAGTTGACTTTAAAGAATACCAGCTACAATCTATTCAGAACTCTGATATCCAAACCTTGATTTCATCTAATAAATCTGCAATTTCAACAGCAACAGAAACTAAAGAAAGCAACACTAAGACAGAAGGTGCTGAAGACTTACATACACAGTATACTGAGTATTCAGATAACCCAGATGACCAAATAACAACTATAACACTGAATATGACTTGTACCTAAACCAGCTGAAACCAGAAGAAGAAGAAGATCAGCCTGAACTCACGACAAATATATTAAGCCAAATATGGCGACTCAAACTATCAGGCCAACAATTTAATGACTATGAAGGGACTAGCTTCCTTGACAAGTTGATAATTGGATGGTCTCCCTTGATTCAAATGACATATGCAGGAATGAAGGGAGATCCACCCGAGGATTCAAAGGCTCTGCTATGGAAGCCTGTTTGGCACAAAAGGAAGGCCAGAGATTTAAAAAATGGTTTTCTTTATGCAGCTTCTAATGGAAGAGCCTAAAATCTCACTTAATGGGCTAAGGAGATTTTAAAAGACATTAATTGATGTAATATTCAGGATTTAGACTTATAAGGGAAATAAATTAGTTACTAGAATAATAGTTTTGAATTATAATATAGAAGATGGATTCAGATGACAAAGGTTATTTTATTAGTAAGTGACAATATTGGAATGAGAAGTAGAATATGACTGTGAAATAAACTAAGAATTTATTTGAATAAATAATAAGTGTATTTTAGATATGATAACTATTTTGTAATGAACTAAGGGAACCGTGGGCTATCCGAAACCTAATACTATGGACATTAAGCTAACTGGAATAATGTAATTGAAATCAGATAAAAATTAAAAACAGGATCTAGATATATATAAGTCAAAAGTGATTGATAAATGTTTTAAATGCTTGAGTTATAACTAGCAATGTATTAATTTGAATGTGGTATAATAACTAAGGGAAACAGAGAGGAAATTTTTGATGATGTAAATTGACATATGTATGGAAAAGCTTGTTATTGGACTATGAATTACCCAATCACCATGTTGCTTCCTTGAAGCTGTATAAAAATGGAAAATTAATAAAACTTGTTTTTTTAAAAAAGAAAAGAAAATACCTATTTTAGCAGAAATGAATGCATGTTTAGCAGAAACAAAATAATACATATTTCCGATGGTCTTAGGCAGGGCTTGTCAACCGCCTTCTCTCCCTCCCCCCCCGCTCCACCTCACTTGTCTGTGGAAAATATGCTGGTTGGTGGCAGTCTGCACAAAGTCTACCAAATGTGCCCTGCAGGGGGCACATGAAGAGCGCAGGCGCAGAGCAACGTATTGAGTTGTCCCATGATATCTCCTAGAGTCTAGGATTTCCTTTATTTCGAAGTGTTGTTCTCCTTCCACCATGATTGGAGATGGTGGGGGGGGGGATTTTTGGCTGTAAGGGTGATTGTTGTTCTCTTTTCAGCAAATTGCATTAGAAAATTGGGTGTATTTGCCTAAGATTTTTGGGTAATTCTAATTCTACTATTACTGGGTTTATGATTCTTTTAATTGGAAAAGGCTCTGTATATTTTGGTCCAAATTTTTTACAGGGTTGTAGCAATTTTAGGTATTTTGTAGATAAGTACACCATTTCTCCTATAATGAATGGTGTAGGCTCAACCCTTTTTATCTGCTTGTGGTTTGTATGCTTGCCTAGCTTCATCTAGGGCTTTTCAACTATTGGCCAGGTATTTTATAATTGTTCCATCTATTCTTTCAGTGATGGGATTGCCGGTTCGTTTGGGGTTAGTTCTGGCATGGGGTTGAAACTTTGACCGGTAGCTATTTGAAAAGGAGTGTAACCTGTGCTGGAGTGGACTGCATTATTGTAGGCAACTTCTGCGAAAGGGAGTAGGTCCGTCCAATCTGACTGCTGGAAATTAGGAAAGCATCTTAAATATTGCTCAAGTACTGAGTTTGATTTTTCTGATTGACCATTTCCTTGAAGATGATGGCTAGATGTCAATACCTGAGTGGTCCCTAAAAGGGATAAAAATTCCTTCCAAAATGCAGACGTAAATTCCACTCCCCTATCAGATCTGATGCATTGGGGTGCCCCATGCAATCTGTAAATAGGCTGCACGAAATGTTTCGCTAAGGCTTTTGCAATGGGAATCTTTTGGCAAGGGATAAAGTGCACCTGTTTGGAAAACAAGTCCGTGACCGTCCAGATGACAATATTCCCATTGCTTTCTGGTAATTCCATTATAAAATCCATGGCTATTTCCCTCCAGGGGGCTGAGGGATTTGCCACTGTTTGTAACAGTCTGGGTGATTTCCCTTGCAACCTCTTTTGGCAGTTGCACACTTTGGGCAGCTGGCCACATAACTTTCTATGTCCTTTTTTATGGATGGCCACCAAAATTGCCGTTTAATTAAGTGTAATGTTTTTACAAATCCAAAATGCCCTGCTGATTTTGTGTCGTGGCAAAGCTGCATGAATGTGACCCTTTGGATAGTTGGTATAGATAACTTTTCCCCCACCCAAGGCAGTCTGTCTTTCATTGTGCACACGGGTTTATTTTTTTGGAACCATTCATCTGTTTCCAAACTTTTCCGGAATTCAATTCCGGTTTGGCTACCCAGCTGCAGTTTTAATTAAGCTTGGGCTCTGGTAGTTACTGGAACTGCCAGTTATGATTCCACCATAATCGGTTTAGAGTCAGTAGCTCGCGTGCTGTTATATTGGGGCCTGCGAGCTAAAATTCTTTCCCCCCTGGCAAATGCTTGAGCGTAAAGTGGAATTGGTGAAAATGCTGGGACCAGCGGGCTTGCTTGGGGTTGGGCTTCCTGGGTGTTTTCAAGTTTTCCAAATTTTTATGGTCTGTCCACACCTGGAAAGGGATTTTATTTCCTTCAAGGAACTGCCGCCATGTAAGTAATGATGAACGTATCCCGTATGCCTCTTTCTCCCACACGGGGCAGTGCTGTTCCTTTTTGGTGAGTTTCTTGGATGTATACGCACAGGGTTGCAATACCCCTTCATTGTTTTCTTGTAATAGTAAAGCCCCCACTGCCACATCACTTGCATCCGCCTATATTATGAAGGGCTTATCCATGTCTGGGTGCCTCAGTACTGGTTCGGCAGAAAAGAGTCTCTTTAATCTCTCAAACGCCACTTGGCATTCCATTGTCCATTTTAGTGGCTGGCTAGGTTTCACTGAGGATGCTCACTTCATTTTTAATAAGTTCGTGAGGGGCAGGGCTATCTGGGCAAATGAGGGGTAAAAGTTTGCGAAATACAGGAAACTTTGCAGTTGCTTTCTTGTGTGAGGTGATGCCCAATCTAATACTGCTCTGACCTTCTCTGGGTCCATATCAATGCCCTGTGGGGATATGCGATAACCTAGGTCAAGGCTTTTCAACTGGTGGTACGTGTACCACTTGTAGTACATTAATGAGTGGCAGGTGGTATGCAGCCCTGCTTAGCCAAGTGTAGTGGGGGAGGGAAAGAGCCAGCACAGGCAAGGACTTGCAGTGAGAGAGTCCTCTGGAGCTGCAAAGGCCCCAGGCTCACTTCTGGCTCACCCTCCCTCATGACAAAAGGGGGGGGGCAGAGACAGGAGAGCCTATTAAAAAGAGGCAGTTTGGGCAGGAGAGGGAGAGAGAAAAAAGCAGCAGCCTTGGGAGGAGAAAGAGTCAGCTGCACCAAAGGGGAAGAAGGAGGGGGAGGGGGAGGGGGAGGGTGGGGGAGAGGAGATCAAGCAGGCT